AGTGGGAGCTCTGGGATCTGGTGTCCAACTTACCTGGCCTGAGGGTGAGGGCGCTGCGGCATTGACCCACCTCCAGCACCTGTGAGCATCGCAGGCTGCTCCCGAGGGCACTGGTGTCCCAGTGCTTCCTGTCTGTCCTGTAGAACAGACTCCAGCGCCCAGAGGAAGCCCAGAGGCTGAACTTCAGGGATGTGGTCCGAGCAGAGGTGACAGGGTGGCGCTGATGGCTGTTAGAGGGGGACCTCTCCATGTTTCTCTTATCCTGGTTTTTCTCCTCTCTGTTGCACCTGCAGGTGGCAGACGAATCTGGACCGTCATTCATTGGAGGATGAAGATCCTCTACCTCTAGTCTGCATGACTTCAGTTTTAGTCACGCTTTAACAATCACAGGCACACATTTCCACATTTCCATTTTATTCATTTGCATAAAATAGCAAGTGCTGAATGAAGCCTCCAAATAAGCGCTCAGAGAAAAACAACAGTGGCTATGATTACGAATATACACTCCAGGCTGTGCTTACTTCATCCTAGCAGCAAGGCTATGGATGTGTATTACTGTGCTTCCCTGAAAATAAGACCTGGCTGGAAAATAATCAGCCTTGGACACTAGAGATCAAAGCATGCCAGCCCCAATCAGCCTATGCTTGCCTTACTGGCCTTACAGAGTAGCCACCGAGCAAGAAGACAATGATGTTCAATATGGCAAGGAAAGGACTATGGCTCTGGCATTTTTGATCGCTAGGGTTCAAGGCTGATTACTTTTTGGCTAGGTCTTACTTCCGGGGAAAGGGAGCATCACTGCTCTTGCTGTTTTACAGGTAAACACATGCACGCCCAGGGAGGATAAGTGCTTTGCTCAAGGATACACAGGCATTAAGTGCAGAGCCCTAAGTCCGAATGTGGTTTATCATCAATCCTAAATTCCTTTCTGTTGCCACTGCTCTGGCTATATAGTATTCCCTGACTAACTGTATCCTGAATCTTAGTGGTATAACATGTCCATTTTGTTTAATTTTACTTTTTGGTATTAGGGGTTGACCTCACATATGCTAGGCAAGTGCTCTACCACTGAGCTATGTCCCCAGGCCTGTGTATTTTGTTTTGAGACAAGGTCTTGCTAAGTTGCCCAGGTAGCCTCAAATTTGAAATCTTCCTGTCTCAGCCTTCCAAGTAGCTAGAATTATGGGCCTAAGCAAACACGCTGAGCTCCTGTAACACATCTATTTTATTTTCATCTAGGGTTGCCAGATAAAATAGTGCAGATATTTTACCTGGGGGCTGTCAAGCGACGTGACCCACTTCCAAGGTGCTTCCTCAAGTCCATATGTGGTGCCTGAGTGCTCTGTGGATGTACACTGTCTTTTACATCAAGTGTCACCCTCCAGGGTCTCATAGTGTGGCTATTTCAGGGTACTGAGACTTCCTGCATGGCAGATCGGGAGCCTACCTTCTGGAGCAGGGATCGAAACTGTCAGTCTTTGAAGTCTGGGACCTAGTAATGGGGCCAGCATCACTGCTACCTTTTTCTATCATTCAAGCTATCACACAGCCCATGGGGCTTCAGCAGGATGGAACACAGGCTGCACCTCTTTCTCTCTTTTTTTTTTTTTTTGTAGTACTATACATTTAACCCAGGATCTCACACACATGCTAGGTAAGTGCTCTACCCCTGAGGGACACCCTCAGCCCTTTTAAATTTTTATTTTGAGACAGGGTCTTACTAAGTTGCCCAGACCAGCCTCAAACTTGAGATTCTCCTGCCTCAGCCTCCCATGTAGTTGCGATTGCAGGCATGCACCACCACTCCAAACTAGACCCCATCTGCTAATGGACAGAGAGCATAAGGTCATCTCTACTTGATCATGGTCACTGGACAGAATGAAATTTTAATACTTCAAAGCTCAAAAGCTACCTGTGTTTTCCTTCTGTCATTCCTTTCCTAAGGCAATGGCTCCATTCAGCAGCTGCTGGGTTGAGTTGAGCCCTAACGAAAAGGAAATTCAGAAGAGACAGATATCCCTAAGTATATTCCATTCCACTACGCAACCAAAAGGGAGAGAGACCTGAAAAATATTCAATCATTCAGAAAGATATTCATAAGATGATAAACATCAAAAACAGGTCACAGCAGGATGTTGCTTTTAAAAACATGAATATATAAATATTGATGACTGTATGCAAAAATAGCAGTAGTTTATCTGTGAAAGATGTGATTCCGGCACATTTCCGTGTTTCTTGTGCTTGTGTGTGCTTTGGGCATTTTATAAAGTGGATGTGTGTTGCTTATTTCAGGAGCAATGAGGTTATTGTTAGACCAAAAACAAACTACCTCTGCAGTGGAATGAATGTTCACCCTCCCAATTCATAAATTGTAACCCAATGCAATGTGATGGCTTAGGTGACATTGTTTGACTTTATGATGGTGTGAAAGTGATATGCATTTGCTAGACACTGTACTTTGAATTTTGGTCTTTTTCCAGGCTGGATATACAGTGTTTTTTCAGATACTGATGGGTTCTCTGCTTAAGTTTGGGGACTACTGTAGCTCTCTGCTCAGTGCCTTAGTCAGCCTGCTCTGCACTGGGAAACCCAAAGGGGACAGCGACAATAATTGGTTTCCCCCTATTTATGCCACCCAATAACCCTGTGTGGGGCTAAGTAGTATCTCCTGCTATGGGTTGAATGTGTCTCCCACAAGTTCTTGTGTTGGAAACTTAATTCCCAATGCACCATTGCTAATTTGCTTTCATTTTGTAAAATGGCCTCTTTCTTTTGCTCTTTCTCAAGAGGGCCCAAGTCCACGTCACAGCACAGCACACTGGCTTGCCAGATACTGGTCCACCCTCTCAGACTTCCCAGCCCCCAGAACTGCAAGTGAGCTGAACTTCTATTGTTTGTGTTACCCAAGCCTGTGGTGGTCTGTTATAGCAGCACACGGTGGACTAAACATCCCCCAGAGTTCAAACCTACCCAGAGCCTCCAACCTTCTCTGGAAGTAGGGTCTTGGCAGATATGATTAGTCCGGATGAGGCCACCCTGGACTGGTTCCCCTACATTGGTGTCTGTGTAAGAGGCAGCAGACAATTGCACATAGCGAGGAAGGCCACGTGGTGACAGATGCAGAATTCAACCAGCCGAGAGTAACAGGAGTTGTTGGCAACCTCCAAAGGCTGGGAGGAAGCAAAGAGGGTGTCTTCCGCCAGCTTGCAGAGGAAGAATGGCCTGAAGACAGCTTTGGCCAACCAGCCTCCAGAACGGCGGCAACAATAGTTGAGTGTGGTTTGTGACTGCAGCCCCAGGAACTAACACCTAACACAATCCTCTCATTCCTCAGATCGCGTTAGCCAGGGATATAGGCGGCCTCCTGGGACATAGGCAGTGCAATTGCCCCCGCTTTGGGGAAAAACTGAGATTTTTATGCGGATTGGTAGCTTGGCCCAGGCCGCATAGAATGTGGCTTCATAACAGAGTCTGAGTTCAGACCCAGGTCCTTCTGTCCCCAGTGTGTAACTCTCCCCAGGAGGCCACAGCTGCACCCGAGACCTGGGATTATAGCAGTTTCTGCTCTATTCACGTGTCTGCTTTCACAGTCACTGCTGCTTTCCTGCCTGGAACCCTGCAGTGACAGAGAAGCCAGCTCTGGAGACCTCCCCATGGCAGGAGCCCCCTTTCCTCTTGGCCAATAGAGATGTCCTGGCCTCGGGCCCTGCCCTGTCCCTGCATTCCCGACAGACTGATGAGTCCACACTGGGGTGAATGGCCTAGGGCAGCTGTTTCCACGGCTGCTCCCTGCAGCTGCTGATAGGTCCTGCAGGTCATTTCACTGAGCCAGGGGGACCTGTTATCACTTTCCCTGCCCCAGATTGTTTTTTTCTGATTTAAAAATGCATACATGTTTTTGAAAAAAATCAGAAAGGATGATGAGGGGCAAAGAACAAACACAAATTACTTATACAGCCATCAGTAGCTTACTATTTACAAATATCTAGAAAAAAAACCCACTATATTCACGTAAGCATCTAGCGATACTATATATATAGACCCATATACTCGCACCACAAATTCAACTACGTTTAAAAATGAGCATTTGTGTATAAACACACTTTGCTGTTGGAGAAATCTGGTCGTAAAAACAATTATGTACTTTCTCCTAAACATTAACCCAATCCTTAGAAGTTCTTTGTAAAAATCATTTTTAAATTATATATACTATTTTATCAAGAGACTTACCACTCCTTAATCATTTATTACTCTATTAATAAGTATTCAGATTCTAGTTTTTTATTCACTTAAAAAGCACTGTTATTTAGCACATACAAGACCTTAGGTAGACTCAGTCCCCTGTACTGAAAAAAACCCACTCTTATAAGTATAGTGATATAAATTTTTGTATACATGTCCAATGATGCCCTTAATATAAATTACTGAGTTTAAGGTTATAAGTATAACTTTTTATAGCTTTAATGAGGTATAATTTGCATAGCATAAGATTCACCCCATGTAAGTATACAATTCAATGCTTTTAATAAGTTTGTATACCTATGCAACCATACCCACAACCCACTTTTAGAATTTTTTTTTATTGACCCCTAAATATTCTCTTGTGTTATTTGTAATTGAATTCACTTGATTCTAATCCTGGGCAACACACATCTACGTTCTGTCACTGTAGGTTTGCTTTTTTTAGAACATGTTGTATCAGCAGAATCAAACACTATGTATTTTTTTAATGGGTGGATCCTTTCACTTCGCACATTGTGTCTGTGGCCCATTCATGATGTGGGATGAATCGGTTCTTTGTTGTGTGTCCTGCAGAGTAGCATCTTCTTGCATGGACACCAGGTTTTGTTTAGTCACTCACCTGTTGCTGGAAACTTGGGTTATTTCCAGTTTTTGCCTAACTACGAATAATGCTGCTGTTATATTTACATGTAAATCTTCATGTGGATATGTTCTCAATTTCTTTTGTCAAATGGTAAGTTAATATTTAACTTTTTCAGGAAGAATCTGTGTTCCAAAGTAGTCGCACCATGTCGCATCCCCTCCAGCTGAGGTATGAGGCTGCCACTGGCTTCACACCCCCGGCAGCACCCCCTCCACACCACACGGCTACTAGCTGGACGCCTCAGCTCTTTGCGACATGGGTCTCTCCACGGCACATCCCACGCCTCCCTGAGAGCAGACCAAAGGCTAGAGGACGCCAAAAAGAGAAGCTGCAGCCTTTTTGTAACCTGCCTTGCAGTGACATTCCTGCAATTTGTGTTCTTATTAGAAGGAGTTGGTCACAAGACCCTGCCCACTTTCAAGGGGAGGAGATCACACAGCTGTGCGAGTAGCAGGGGCCGGAGATCACTGGGGCCATGTCAGAAGGCTGCCACGGTACCCTTCCAGTTGGTCATCTGCTGCTTTTCTCAGGTATTAGGCGGTGAGTCTTTACTTGTGAAACTTGATGCAGATGCAGGGGTCCCATTCTCAGGTTCTCGATCTCCTTGGGTCAGGATCTCTGTGGGTAGCAGTGCACCTCTGTGTATTCCTCTCTTTCTGGGACCCCATGGGTCTTCCTAGTGCGGGCCGTGTCAGGAATCACTAGGTAGGTGGGTATTTCCCTGTATGAATGACAGCTGCAAATACTGCTTACAAGTTTGTTTTTTTTTCCTTCAAATAATATCAAAAATAAATGTGTCCCAGTTCCTAGGTCCCCAAGGTGCAGCTGCTCTTTAGGGAGCCAGGCTTGGGGGTCTCCTTAGGCAGGGCTCCTGCAGCCAGGCTGGCCACCATGCCTTACTCCTGGGGGCGGCTGTGCAACCCTCGGTTCTGAGCAACCTTGAGGCTGCCTGCTCAGGCTTTGGCTCGAGGGCAGCTCTGACATTAATCCGTCAGCCCAGAAGCCACTTTTAGATGCAAGTCTGCTGGTGTGGGGACTTTATGAGAACAGGAATCCCTGGCTGTGAAATAGCTGGCATTTCATGATGTGAGAGAAGATTTACAAGCTTTTTGCTGAGCTGGGCTGTGATCACAGGCCAAGCAGTTATGCAATCAAGCTGTGCGGCTGGTGGCACGTGAGGGGGCTGCAGGTGAAGGGAGGGGAAGCCATTGCCCACCGCGCCCAGGGCCCAGGCCCATCCCCACACCCACAGGGGAGGCTCCCTTGTGCCATGTCCACCTCTGGGGGCGCTCATGCAGCAGGCGGTAGTGAGCCAGTGGGCAGGGTGCGGGCTGTGATCTGGTGGGCCCCAGAAAGGAGGGATCACAATGGGGGGCTCCCCTGCTTCCAACACTGGAACTCCCTTGCTAAGGGCCTCTCCGCTCCTGCGTGACAATTACCCCACCACCTGCTTCAAAGGACATGCCAGCTCTTCCTCTTCTGCACTGTATTTAACTGTTTTGCCTAACCCCATCTCTACTGCAGATATTTTTTTAATTTTTAATTTTTTTATGGTTTATCTCCTCCACCAGAATGTAGGTTCCCCAAAAGCAAGAGCCCCCTACCTGTCACTGTTTCATATCCACCCATGACTGACCCAGTGTAGATGATCCTCAGCTCCTGCTTCTGGGAATACCTAAACATTCATTCAGTCAGTCAACCATTCAAGCCCTATACCCGCTCTGGTCACCTAAGCTTAGCGGTGGCCTCACCGTGCTGAAGTCCCACTTGATATGTCGATTCAATGAATGCAGGGATGTTTGCACACTTCCGGTCTATACACTTCTGGTTTCCCCACCAGCCAGGCAGCCTATGTCCGATAGTCGTGCTCTTGACTCTTCCTCACGACCCTCCTTCCTTGTCCTCTCAGGGGAGCCACTCTTAAGCCACTCGCTTAAGCCCACTCTTCTTCCCCTCCAAACCTCCAGAGAATTGGAAGCAGTGCCACACATGTTTTCCTAGCTGAGTCATGTGTCATCCCCATCCTAGTCACCTTCCTCAGAAGGCTTCTAGTGAGTCACTGTGCCTCAGTGAGCTCGTTGAGTCTTGGAGACTCCTTGCGAGTCTTGGCAGTTTGCTGATTTTGAGACACCACCCCCCCAACAAACATTTCAGTCACTTTTCACACTCATATTTTTCCTTCATAAAGGAGTCAGTAGATTTGACTGAGGGCTGACACTTTTAACGAGTCCTTGCTCTACTTCTTTGCCCCAATTTTCTAGTCTACAGTGCCTGAAAGATGGGTCTCCAGATGTTAGGTGCTGAATAGCCCCACTCTGTCCCTTTATGCCTCTTAGAGCAGGGGGAGGATATGGAACAGAAGGCAGAGTGCCCTATGTGGTGGTCCCACCTGACAGAGGAGAGGGCCCCAGCCCTTCCTAGGCCAGGGCAGTGCTTGTCTGGGGCAGGAGGAAGATGTAGGTGCTACGGCATGATAGCAGTACTGAGAGGAAGAGGGTGCACCACGTGCACATGTGCATGCCATTCTCATGATCTATAAATGCAACGCAACTTTCTTGCCTGGTGGGGACAGAAAATGAAGTGCACAAGTTTTTAAAGGCTGGGTAGTTGCCTGGACCTGCATCTGCTCGAGTCTACACTTAAAGGTGGCCTTAGCACCTGGTGTCCACTTGAACATGAAGAACCTGACCTCCCCCGACTTCAGCTGGGCGTGGTGCTTCTTTTAGCTCTAGGTACAGGGGTGATTTATCCCTACCCTGCCTTCTTGAGGCGTGCTCTGAGGATGCTGGGAGAGAGCCCCTTGGAGGCGTTTGATTGGCCAGCAGGTGGCTAGGTAGAGGTGGGCTGGTTTCTGCCACCGGCAGGTGGTGCATGTCAGCCACTGCCTTGGCCTGGTCCCAGCCAGCTTCAACTCCTCAAGATGGGCCTGAGCAGGTGCATGTTGAGGGAAACATAAAGTTTGTGAATATTATTTTGCAGACGACAGGGAGGGCAGCGAAGAGCAAGGACCGCTTAGATCCCCTGTGTGACAATCATTTCATCCATTCCAGTGTCTGTCCACTTACTCATCTGACCTATGCCTAAGAAAATTCAATCGTGTTTGGATATTGCTCGGTGTCTGTGAAACATGTTTGAAAGCGAAAGTACCAGAAGTAGATTTTGGTAGATGTGTCCACATTTCCACTTATTTCTAGTCTAATAAAGTGCCCCGAAGTCATGTCTTGTTGAAAGTCACCTGTGTATTTTGGGATCATTCAGAAAATAATCGTGGCTTGGCACATTTTATAATGGAGAGTTGAGAAGAAGGTAGATGACAACTTTAGTTTTAAAAAATGAAGTTTTTCACCCCTTGGAACCCTGGGTATGTCTAAGATTCAGGTAACTGTCAGTGTCACTTGGAATCACACATCATCATGAGACAAATAACAACTTTAAGAGGCTGGTTGGGGGTTTCTGGAGGCCTATACTTGTCCTAGTGGTGAGAGGAACCTGGCCTATGGGTGTGGCCAGGCAGCTAGTATCTAGTCTGCCAGGGGAACTCCCAGATCTGGGAAGTGAATGCCAGCCATCTCTACCCCATCCACCACAGGTGTCCAGAACTTTGACCATAGACATCAACTCTGTTCACTGGCCCAATGGAGGTGAAGTCAAAGTTTCATTCATAGAGTTTTACTACTATTACTATTAATAATAATAATTGGATGTCATACTCAGAGCATTAGACACTGAATGGACATACTTGGAGGCCCCAGTGCACTAGTTCCCCAGCCCTCGCCAGGCTGTGAATCCCCATTTAGGCTCAACCTCTTGGTGCCTTGGCCTCCCTTCTAACATGGTGGTTGCACTAGGATTAACCCTGGAGGCTCGTAACAGCCACTGTTGTGTAAACAATGAGAGGTTCAGAGTGTTCTGAAGGCCCTCCTGCTGTTCCAGAAGCTGTGTGTCATTGGCCTATGAAACCTGAGGACCAAAGGGCAGAGGAAGACGGAGCACCTTGTTCTTTGCCACCCTGGCACATACCCTGTACGCTGGCTTTGCAGCTCCCTGAGACACTGCACTCCTTCCTCGCTAACGCTGGTGCTTTTACCCCGGTAACATTTATAGCTTTAACTGTGGCACCCAGGACCACAGAGCCTCCCTGCTCTGGTCTATTTCTGTCCGAGCCGAGTTGAGAGCAGGTGATGTGACTGTCGCTGTGCATGTGCAGCCCCAAGAGTGCCCTGAGAGCCCTCGCAGGTGTCTGAGCACAGGGACGTTGGGTCTGGGAAGCCTGGGCCCAAACTCCAACTCCGCCACTTATGCCCACCTACGCTTAGGGCCCTTTCCTAAAGTTGCTAAGACTCAATTCCCCCATCTCAAAATTGGGGAGAAAAGTACCTATACCCCCCCCCCCCCGCCACAAGCTTGCTATTTAAACTGTGTGCACAGTACACACAGCACGGAGCTTGGTGCAAGACAGGTACTTGGTTAATCCATTTTCTCTCCTGCTGCACTGAGCTCCTTCCTGGAGAGGCGGACACCTGGCAGGGGTGGGAGAAGCTGCTTTGCCTGCAGTCCTCAGCTCCGCAGTGGGGCCCCTGCTTAGACTGGCATTCCTCTGCTTGTTGGCAAGGCTTTAGAGTCTTCTACGACTTCTGGTGCCGGAGGGAATAGGGGCTTCTCAGAACTGCTCTTCTACCTAATCCTGATTCCTGTCTGGAAGTAACTACTGTGGAATTTTACTTTCTTCCCAGCCTGTCGCTTGGTGTTCACAGGTACCAGTGTGAGTCTCCCAGGCTTTGCTCTCTGTAGCACAATTGCAGGAACTCCTGGCTCCTGTCCTAGCCAGGTGCATGGTCATCTAGATACAGGGTCCTTTGGTCATTTGCTTACAAGGACCCTTTTAGAAAGTAGGTCACATATTTCCAAGAGCACAGCATCTGTAGGGGCCTATCCTCTCCCAAGTCTTATCCACTACACAGACACACAGACACACACACACACACACACACACACACACACACACACACACGCTTCTGGGCAAGTGAAATTCCTAACTCCAGGTGCCTGGCCACTGGTAGCTTGTATCTTGTTATTCTTGTTTGCCTGGTTTTGGTTTCATTTTTCCTGCAGGTCTTGGGGTAAATCATCTTTGATCTTTTTGAAAGTTAATGATGAGAAAACAAATTTATACAGAAGCTCCTGAAACATCAACTTATGTTGCCTCCTTTCCTAACTTTTGTGTTGACTTCAGAATCAAGGTTGGATGGGGACCTCCGTCTGTGGAAGAGTTTTTGAAATTCGCAACAGGTTAAAATACCATAGTTACCATTTGCAGTTACTTATTTGTGTTTATCAGGACTCGCTGAGTATTGTGCAATGAGTCAATAGAAAACTCAGAAGCAGGTCAGATGTAGAGGGATAGTTGCAGCTCAGTAGCATAATCTCTGATTTCAGTTTTTAGTGTGTATTAGGTAACCTTGTTGACATAGTTAGATCAAAGACCAACTTCTATTATAGGAAGTAAATGCTAAATTTACTTGTAAAATGTAAGGCGATATAAAACTTATGAAAGGCATTTCCACATGTTCTTTTAAAGTCCATGTTCATAGTTGGGAAAATTTCATTGTCAGTATAGGCCAGTGATGGTGAACTTTTTAGAGGTTTCAATGATAACAAACAGCCACCACTGGTGTAGACTAACCTCTGTTACCAGTAGCCTGCTGGCTGCAATTCTTTATTTCCCATTCAGGTCAAAATAGAATGAGAGTCAATAGGGAGAAAGTTTCAGTGCCATTCAAGATTTCTGGCTTTTTCTACTCTGGCCTGCCTTC